CAACACACCATAAAACATGATGAAGTTGGAGAACCCATTTGTCTTATCTTTTTTTCTTTTGTTTCCTGGATCAAAAGAGATTCAAAGGTCTTAAAGGAAATATACGGGTATTTGATTGATTTGTCTTTTGGCGAATGGTTTTGGAGAGGTGAATCCATAATTACCGTGGTTATAAATATATAAGGACCATGTTAGTTTTTCAAGTACTAAGGATTCGTTACTCGAGCTTACAAGGTTGGTATTGTTTTTATGGTTAACTTAAATATGATCAATTGTTCAACATGTGAATAAGTTGCAAACTACATGGAATAAAAACATAAGAAAACTTTCTCCAACGAAGAGGAAAACTAATTGATGGGAATTTTTTTATTTTGTTAAACTTGACATACAATAATGAGAATTTCCCCCTCATCTTTGCAGTCATATAAGATAAAACAAGGACGTCCTAACTAGATTAAGAAAAAAAAGAATGATGTTCAAGCAATTAAAGTTTAAATTGTTACCATTTATAATAGTCAAATTATGACATGTCTTTAAAATACAATGGCCAAAACAAAATAAGGTTGGGGAACATCCTCAAGATCCCTAACATCATTCCTACCTCAGTTTAGCTTCCACATAATGATTTTCAAGCCTCCCAATGTGGTTTCGGCTCTCGTTCTTCAATCCCCACTGAAATCGAGCTATGTATCGATTTAGTGAGTGATATAAATTGCTAGTAGTTGAAAAAAAGTATTGCATGTTCTATATGAGTTGAAACACATACTTAACTAAAATTTTCTTTAATATAAATGAAAAAACTCTAATTTTCCACCCTTGCAACCGTTGTTGTAGCTTCTCCTCCCGAAACCTTAACGTTTGGTTCTTCCATCTCACCACATAGAAAGACAACCCAATGTATTATCCTTTACCCCAACATAAATGTCATTCATTCGTGCGTAAACGTTGATCCATCCATTTTCTATCAACATAATTGGCAAACACTGGGCAAGATGGTGATGAAAATGATTGTGGAATTCTTTGAAACAAGACATTTGCCACATGCCATTATGAAAACCATAGTATATCACCCAACTAAGGCATATAAGCTTGAACAATGTCTACCTCAAAGCCATCATAAAATCAATGACCAATCACCTCAAGCCACTGAGAGAGTGTTGCACCTCGTGGACGATGATAATGTTTTCCATTGTTTGGCGGCCTATATTGAAGCTTCTAAGGGGCGGAGAAACAAACTTTTTCATTAGTGAATCCACTATGAAAAGACATATTAATACGACCCAGGGGGTGTATTTTTATCAAAGTAACGCAGCAAACAATCAATCTGAAGATTGATTAAACTCGAATCAAGAGCAACGCGTTCTTAATACAAATTTGGGATAAAATGGAACCAACGGACAATTCCACACCTGGGTCGTATGGTATAGAAGGGACTATTCAATCGATACAAAGCTCACAAGCTTGATATAGAAGGGTAGTTTCCTCCATTGATCACGAGGGATAATAATTTTCCATCGACAACGCATCTGTTGTCAAATAAGTTGTCTCTCTGCTCATCGGATTCTCGATGTATAAATCAAGTTGCTGGCCGCTTCTCTTGGCCACGAAATTTCAGATTCCTGGCCTTATCTACGACCTTCTTCCATCTCCTTCACTTCTAATGAATTTTCCATTGAAATTCAATTAAGAACCAACAGCTACAAGGTACGTACACGTTTCCAGATCCATGCTCCTCGAATGGAGCTCCAAAGTAGACTTTACAAACACATTTCCAGACTTCTCCTTGAGCTTGGAAAACAACCTTCCTGACTTCTGGTAATTTTCCAGTTTTGACATAGCTTTTGGTGAGCTTGGAAAACAACCTTCTTGACTTCTCCTTGAGCAATCAACCATACCAATGTGTAGCTAAACACTCCATAGTCAATACAAGCCCTTAATATTTAATTTTCATTAAGTCAATTGAGAGAACCAAACCTCCAATGTAGGCCACCTGAAATTGTGATAACACTTAACTAAAAATTAATGTTCTTCAGGCAGCTTGACCTTGCTTCCTTTTCAAGTAACTCCAACTTGTTGACTCACTCCTACTGTCACCCTAGAAAATGGCCAAGTATAACCACTTCCTAAAGCGTAGTATAGCGGGTCGGGTTTTAATGTCAACCCGGGTCCTAGATATGATGACTACTCGGTGAATTCTTGTTATTTAGCGGTGAACTTTTAGTGAAACTCAAGCAAACAAAACACAAAGCAAGTAAACGGTTTGTTGTCAAGTCAAGAGAGGTCACCCGGATATGGTTTCCCCCTAGACTGCAGTTAAGTCGGATTGCAATTTGCCAAGTTCAGTTTTCATGAAAGTTATACTGCGGAAGGTTCTCAATTAGCCTGAAGTCTCGACTAAAGGTCTCCAGACCCTCTCAATCTGAGTCTCTAGCGGGCGACTAACCTCCACCGGAGTAAACAGATTGAGGCCCTAATGAACCAAACCTCCACTACCGAATCGACTTCGATACAGAATAGCGAATTGGCTCCTCGACTAAAGTCACCAATTCGCCACCTTCGATTAAGGGTACTCTATCAACCTAGGCAGATATTCTCATTCCAGGTCAAAGCAGAAACAACAGGAATTTGATCAGGATTCAAGTCATTCAATCAATCAAACCTCAATCGAATATAATCAATTCACAAACACTGTACTTGGGTTCATACAATCAGACCTAGCATACAAATCTAGGGTTCTCCATACCCAGATGAATGGGGAAACTACTCCATAGAGAAAGAAGCAAAAGCAGATTCAGACACGGAAATCATACTGTGAAGTTAGATTCCTGCTACTGGACGTTTAATCGCACTTCTCCAAGCTTAAGACGGGCTCCAATGGTGTTGAAGATCGATCTATGGCGCTTGAGAACTCTGGTTCGACGCTTTCTCTCTCTAGGTATCGGTTTCTCTCTCAAAAACTCGGAACCCCTTGAAAATTGGCCTTCTTCCTCTTTTAGCAGCTGCCTGGTCGCGATACCCGGTCAAAATACCCGGTCGGGTATTTTATGGTTCGACCGGGTATTGTGAAACGCACCGTTCCATTAAAGGGGAAAATACCCGGTCTACCACCAAAATCCCCGACCGAGGATTTATCGCCATCGCCCGGGCCCCCTTCTGCTTCTCGCGGGTGCCCGAAGGAGGAAATACCCGGTCGAGGCCAGAATATACCCGGTCGGGTATTTCTTCCTTTGACAGGGTATTTTGGTCCAGCAGCATCCTTTGTCCAATCTTCGCTCCTTTCGATCCAGAACTCGTTCCTTCGCCTCGATTCCAACGCCAGGACCTGAAATATGACATAAACACACAACCTAGCGTAAAATCGGCTTAAAATACGAGATTCCTCATCACAAACGACTTCAGAATAGGGGTGAAAACATGTATGATTATCGGTCTATCACTTGTAGAGTAGGCTATTTGGTATCATATCACATATGATCACTTAAAATGGGATTTCCTTTAAGATACGCTAATGGAGATAGGCCTTCCCAGCTCATGGGACAATTGCATTATGTTATGTGTAGAGAGTAAGAGGATGATAACATGGAATGGGACGCTCTCGAACCCTATCGTCCTTAGAAGAGGAGTTTGCCAGCGGATCCCCCCTCTCTCGTTATCGTTTTTTTGGTGCATGGAACGTTTATCCCATCATATTGACCAAGCTATTGAGGAGAAGCAGTGAAATCCTCTTACTCTCCTGTTGGGCCTTTTTGGTATTATTTAGTGTTTTTTCAAGGTAAAAAAAATATTTTCAAGGATGATTTGGGCACTTGAGTATTAGGGTACCCGTAAAGAAATTGTGAATATTTAAATAATGATAACCCTAAAAAACGAGACGGATATGAATATACTCAACTACTTATTTTCCGTTGCCCATAGAACACAAAAGAAAGAAGGAGAAGGAATAAGGGGTGTAAGCAAAAGAGCCAACCCACTACCAACATGAACACCAGTGTTAGTGGAGTCTAACTCTACTCCCAAATACGACAAACCCCTAATCCAACCAAAAAGTAGAAATATTCACATTACCTGCCCCATCTCATTACCTCGTTACAGTACAATTAGGCCATTACAAAAATATCACCCTTGAAAATGAAGGCAGAGATTAGATTGATACATAGCTGGCTGACACTTGACAGCCAGACATCTCCCTCCTTCTCCTTCCCATCCCACCCCAACCATATACTGGACCCGTCCTTCCCCTCCTTTTGGCTCTCTGTTTGTGCTTACTCTGCTCCAATCAAATCCCTTCCCCCATTTCCCATATGCCATTTTCCTGCTAAACATCATGAAACAGTTCTATGTATCGGAACCAGCTTCTGCGGTTGTTCCTCTTCGCTTCAGTCGTCAATGAGCATATAAAAAATCATTCGTCTTTTGGGCACATTCTTCATGTGTAGCAATTGTTCGGCCGCAAATCCGACGGCCGTTGTTTCTACAACCTACTCCTACTCTGGACTCATTCATTCAGTTTCAATTGGGGAACATAGCCCAATTCCATTTTATTTCATAAAAATGTCACGCTGATTACAATACAACAGAACAGCAGAGCTACTAGGTTAAAAATTACAGTACAAATATTCTCAAAGGAAAATTTAGTCAGACACTCTAAATGGAAAATGGACACATGGTTCACCACGAAAGTCCCAAAAAAGACAGAAAGAAAACCCCCTAAAAATTCAGAGTTTCAATAGCCAAAACAAAAAAAGAACCCATCTTCTTCTTCTTCCTATACATATTTAAGCTGGGTAGTAATAATAATCAGAGTGGGCGAACCGCTGGGGCGGGCTGGACCTCGTCTATCTGCCACGGTTACCAAAATTCATCTTCTCATAGTACCGAATTGAGAGCAGTGACAAGAAGAGATGGACCTCGTCTTTCCCCCACCTCGCCGGCGGCTTCGCTCTGATCATAGGCGGGAAGGGAGCCCACGACGACGACGACCCGGAAGCCAAAGTTCTGGGTTAGGGCTGGGAGAGAGGCCAGAGGTACTGGGAGTGAAGGCGGCGGAACCCGCCAAGTGCAAGGACCACGGATCTGAGCTGGGTGTTGCCGCAGCCGATGTTAGCCCAGTGCTTGGTGCAGATCAGCTCCGACAGCCACTCGTCCTGGGCGGTCCGGTGCCACTGCTTGCTCACGCAGGCCGCCCGGCCCAAGATCGCCGCATCGGCGTGCTTCAGCACCTCATATAACAGATTCTCGTCCAAATTCACTAACCCAGTTCCCGGATCGGGTGAAACTCCGGTGGTTTCTTCCTCTTGGACCCTGGTTTTCTTCGATTCGAAACTCGAATCGGCCTCGAGCGAGCGCTTCATGGAGGGAGATTAAAGAGGGGAAGGGGGAAAAGTTGCAGAGGGAAATGAGGGGTTCGAGTAAGGAATGAATGGCAGGAGAGGGAGAGGAGACGGGGGAGGAAGAAGAAGAAGAAGAAGAAGAAGGAGGTAAGGGAGAAAGAAGGATGGGGATTGGGGTGGGTAAAGAGGTAATGGGGACCTGAATTTGGAGGTTATCGAAGATGACAAGAGGAGAAATGAATGCTTGGGTTTGATACTCTTTTCATTATTATCTCTTTGCCTTGTTTCCTCTCTCTCGAGCAAGGTTGTCAAACCGGTTTATACCGTTGTGCCGGTTTGACGAGTGGAATAGTACGATCGGTGGTAGAATCAGTTTGTATTGGTTTATATTGGTTTTAAAAAAAATATGAAAATAATTAATATCCAATGTATTTAATCATATATAAAATATATTTGTGGACAATTTAGTTACAATCCACTAAATATCATCAAATTTTAACTATTAAATTAATAAAATGAATAAAATATTATTTATTTTATTAATTAAATTCATTAAAGTGATATGAGTTTGCTTAGAATGCGTAACTCGATTATATCGATGGTGCCATACTGATTTCATGACCGGCACAGATTGAATCAAGTTGAACCAGGTGGCATGTCATCCGCATGACAACCATGCTCTCGACTCTCTCTTTCATAATAAGTCTCTAAATTGACGAATTTGTCCTGCATTTTGTTTTGTTGGATTGTTTTTTTATAAGGAGGAAACCTTTGTTGGCAATTCAGAAAATGATCGGTTGAACTGGTCACTAAAGTATGATACATGTAACAAAATAATCACTCAACTTCGAAATGTAACAAAGAGATCATCTAAGTTTGTTAACTCGTAACAAAATGGTTACCTCCTAATTCTTTCCATCTCTTCCTCTATTAGCAATACTTGGCATGCCATTGCCACATCATCCACTATACATTGTTGGCTCCCAACTCTACCTCCCACTTTGTACAATCAATCTTGTTCTTAATTGGTTAACCGAGAACCAAGTTTGAACCGTCTCATAAACTCACCTCTTTGTGTGCCAAAGAAAAGACCCGTCTCTTGAATCTTCATCCTACCCATATTCTAATGTCCCCCTCTCAACTTTTGTGTTCGTACTCGTACTGTGCTCTAATCGTATCATATCGTGCTAGCTTATGAGGCATGACACAGAGCTTAGGTACATCCATCACTAAGTACGTACGACCCTTAGTCTTTTTTTTTTTTATAAGGGTGATAATATATTAAGGAAAAGCAAAGAGGGTTAAAACCCAAAAAGAGTACAGAGGGGAAGGGGAATGGGAGCACAAGCAGTGCAGCCCAAAGACCCCAACCTCAAACACAGAAACGCAAAACAAAAGACAGAATAAAAAACGAGACCCCAAGCCAAGGGGAGGATCTCAGCACGACCAAGACAGGGCCGGTAAGCTGGACGACAGCAGGAAACGAAAAAATACAGCAGACCAGAAAGGGTCTCAGAGGCAGAACAGCACCAGCGTAGCAGCACCAGCCCGACTTGCTTCAGCAGCGACACGGCACGGGAAACAGGAAACCATCCAGCAGCCGCATCAGCAGAGGCAACAAAACCCAAAAAGAGAAGATGAGGGCGCGAAAATCAGATCCCACCCAAATTATCCCTGTACCATCTGGCGCAATCCCTGGCGTCCACTTTCCCAAGAGCAGTGATCCATTCGATCGCGTTCTTAGCAGCGTCCTTAGTTTTATACTTATCAGTCGAACCTAATTCAACAACAAATACTAATGTCTCCATAAGTTGGGTTATCACTGATACTGTACAGGTTTTGGGTGGAAAACCAAAAGTGGGGGATATCAAATCACTAAATAGTGTGAAACCGTACCAAAAGTTGTACCAAAAAAATTAGTGATCATATATTTTGTACAAAAATCATAGTTGAACCATGATTCAGTTATTTCATACTTCTATAACCATCTTCCGGTAGGATATTTTTAGCCTCAACCACCAATACGTATAATTTCACAAACACGGCTCGTTTGCTTGTTGGATTTGTAAAGGGTAAATGCCACATTTGGTCACTGAGATTACTAAATCGTGTCAAGTTTAGTCACTAAAAAAATTTAATATCAATTTTGGTCACTCGAATTAGTGAAACAGGTCACATTTGGTCACTCTCATGTAGCATCTGTCCAACTCTGGTCACTCGAATTATTGAAACATGTCACATTTAGTCACTTGAATTACTGAAACATGTCACATTTGGTCACTCTCCCGTTAGTTTCCGTCCAACTCCATTAATGACAAAATGTGACCAGTTTCAGTAATTCGAGTGACCAAAATTGATATTAAATTTTTATAGTGACTAAACATGACACGATTTAGTAATCTCAATGACCAAATATGGCATTTACCCTGTTTTGTAAATGAAGGTTTTGAGTTTTGAAAAACTTTGGATTTATGATGGATTTGCTGCATTTTTTATTTGAAAGATAACATTGTTTGCTTGATGGATTTGATGAAGGATTTGGTGATGAATTTGGATCCCTGATGGACTTTGGGGTCGTTTGGATGGGTTATTCCAATGAGTCATTTGGATTCAAATAACTCACAATGACTTGGCTCGAATAACTTGTTTGAGTATAAAATCGGGTGATGAGTTATTTGGATGTGTTATTTGTAAATAATCAGTTTTTGTGGTATTCTAAAATCTAAATAATTGGGGGTACCCAGTTATTCTGAAATAACGCATTTTGAGTTAAAGTGAATAGATTCTACCCCTCTCTCTCTCTCCTCTCACCTTCCTTCTACATGTTTTCTTCTTCTTCGATTCTTTTGCCTGAAAGCAAAATCAATTGAGTGGCGGTTGTTCCTTCTACACACAAATAACTTTTTCTAGTGAATAATACCGTTGGTGGTGTATTTTTCGATAAGATCAACTTTGCCTCAAGGGTAAGAATTAATCTCTTGTGATAGAGATTTCTAGCACCATAGTCGTGCTTTTTTGGTTGGTAATTTTGCAGGTGCTCATATGGTATGATAGTAATGAAGTAAGTGAGATAAGTTTCATCAATCTATCAGGTGATAGTTCAATTTTATTTTCTCTTACAAATTTACGAGAGTAATTAAGAATGCTTTGTCGAAGATTGCTAATGTCTTTTGCTTTTTTTGTTGGCATATCGATACTGGTCATCCAACATACTCCGTCGAAGGAAACTACACTCACTGGCGGGACTATCTTGGAGATGTTGAGTTTTTGTTTTTTTCCCGTTAGTGTCGTGTCTTTGCTCCTTGGAGCTTCTTCAGAGCTGCCCAAGTAGTGGCTTTTCAGGCTCTTTCATCGTAGTCTGGTTGCATACAGACTATCGTGTTGGTTTTAAGTCGGTCATGTATTCGTGTCGAGTCTTTGTCCCATGCCCTTTGGGCTTGCATTGGATAAAAAAAATAACTCTTTCAACCAAATAAGATAATTAAAATTATTATACCACATTTCAATTCCAAATAACTCTGAAATACCACAAGATATAAAAATGTATGATTTGGGTCTACAAATACCACATTGCGAATAAACTCATCCAAACGATCCTTTTGTCAAAAATCCATTGTTTGCTTCAAGTATTTAAAAGTAACAAATTCTTTAGATGGAAATTGATCATTGACTTTGAAGTCCATAAATTTTTACCAACCTACCCCTAATATTTTCTTTCTCTGCTTATATCATTGAGGGCAATAAAGGTAAATTTCACTTCATACATACAATTTAATTAACAAAATCCATAATGAAATCCATGGCACAAACAATGGTGTTTTTTAAATCCATAATGAACCCAAAACCCTGATATTCCATGGTTTTCCAAAACTCAATTTATACCAAAACCTTCATTTTTCAAATCCATGAAGCAAACGATTTGATCATGGATTTAAGGGTTTTTGCACCATGACTGACAAAACTTTGCCTTTCATGACCAAATACCAAATGAAATGTGGTATTTACAAATACAAGAGGTCCACAGATTTGGAGCTAAAAAAAGACCAAATTCATGGACCCCACGAATTTGTATACAACAACTAATAATATTCTTTTGGCAAATACATAAAGCTTGGATTTGGGTACCAAATACATCACCCAAATCTCACAATCAATACCAAAATCACATGTCTTCCCTTCCAAGCCAGCAAGCCAGACGTCAAACAAAGTAACAAACTCTTCCCGATGGTCCATTCATTTTATGGTTTTGGTTCAAGCAGGCCCAGCCTATTGTCGAGCGATTGAGGTATTATCTCTTATTAATTAATCAGCTTCCGAAAGCCCACACGGGCCCAAATATATTAGTTCCGTCTGGATGGGAGGAAAAATATCTTTTTTTGAGGGAGGGAGGAAAAATATCTTACAACAGTATGATGGCAGCAAACGAGCAGATTCGAGTTTTTACTTAACTTGAATTCGGTTCGTTTATAAATTTTTTAGCTCGAATTCGATTCTAAGTCGAATTTTGATAATCCAGTTCGAGCTCGAGCTCAGTTTGATTAAAAGTAATCCAGCTTGAGCTCGATTCGGTAGAGCTCTGTAAATGCTCATTAACACAACTTGTCAAGCTGAGTATAAGATAGGCTCAAAATGAGCTCGATTTGATATCATTCTTGTTGAAAAATGTGTGTACATAAGAGATTAAATCAGTGTTATTAAAGCAGAGTCGAGCCGCTCGGCCCGACCGGTAAAACCGCCACTCGGTCACAAGACCGGGCTGGAACACTCTAAAAGTCGCTCCGGTTTTATGTAGCGTTTGACGAGCGGCCGATGCGGTTAACCGCTCGAGCTGCTCAAGCCGCTCGTCCGGTTTTTGCCATTCAGCCGTTAAATTTAATTAAAAAAATTGCAGAAATTTGAAAATTGAAATAAACAAAAAACGTCGGGCTCTCAAACTGAATCCTTATTTCCATTTCACAATTTCGAAGGAAAGAGACGAGCTCTGATTAAGAAATGTCCACTATTTATACTGATAACGTTTA